ATAAATTTGCAAGATATTCGATTAATAGGTTCTTTAATTTATGAGTCTCCTTTAGTAATCATATTTTTTAACTACTCTAATTTATCCCTCTGTGGCTTTCCTTTTCTCTCAGGATTTTACTCTAAAGATTTAATATTTGAAATAACACTTAACTTTCTTATTAACCCATTCATTATAACTTTAATATACTTTTCTATCTCTTTAACTATTTTTTATTCTTTTCGACTCATATTTTATTTAACTTTTAATATACCACATTCTAGCCCTATAACCCTAAAAAAAGATAATATTTTAATAAATTTCTCTATTTTCATATTATTTATTATATCTATTATTTTTGGTAACTTAATCAATTGATTAAGATTTAATAGAATTGATACAAGAATTTTAAATTTAGAAATAAAAAGTTTAATTCACTATATAATAATATTTAGAATTTTATTAATTTTAAATTCTTTAAACTACACAAATTACTTTAATTCATGACTTTTATACAACATCATTCCTATTTGTAAAAATTTTATATTTTTAAGACAATTATCTTTTTCAATAAATTTTTTTACCTTTAATATAATTAATAAACTATTTTATTTAAACGAAACTATATGAAATGAATTTTACACTAAATTAATATTTAACTTTATATTTTTTAAACAAAAAAAATTTTTATCCTATTTTTTTAATACTTTAATAGATATATTTATACTACTTCTATTAATTATAATTTTAATTTTCATTTTAAGTTAATAGAAAATTTTAATCTCTTTAATGTATATTCAAAATACATATTTTAACAAATTCATTAACTTAAATCTTTAACCTTTTACTATTAATATATAATTAATAAAATTCATTTAATAAAGTTTAAAAAATTAAATAATTTAAAATTACAACTAAAAATCTTTTCCAAATTAATATTATAAGTTTATCATATCGAATTCGAGGAAATCTTCCTCGAAATAAAATAATTAAAATTATTACCCTCACTCTTCCCACTATCCTAACACTATTAATATTAGTATAAAATAAAATAATATAAATAAATAACTTATTAACATAATTATACCATATTCAGATAAAAAAATTAACACAAATCCTCCTGCTATATACTCTGTATTAAACCCAGATACTAATTCAGATTCACCCTCAGCTAAATCAAAAGGAGTACGATTCAATTCCGCCACAACTCTAACTAAAAATATTAACATTACCCCTCATATATAAATAGAAGCCCAAATTTTATCTTGAACTCTTGACATCTTAAACATATCAAATCTTTCAATTAAAAATAAACTTCTTAAAATAATTAAAATTAAACTAACTTCATAAGAAATAGATTGTGAAATCGCACGAATTCTCCCTAATATTGAATATAAAGAATTAGAAGATCACCCTCTTAACATCATTATATAAACCCCCAATCTTAAAAAACAAATAAATAATAAAATTCTTACCTCTCTAATTCTTATATTAAAAAAATTAGGTATAATAACTCATAAAATTAATATTAATAATAACCTTAAACAAGGTCTTAAAAAATAAATTATATAATTTAAATTTTTTACAAAAAATAACTCTTTCCTTAATAACTTTAAAGCATCTCTAATAGGCTGTAAAATACCTTTAAATAAAATTTTATTTGGCCCTTTACGAATTTGAACATACCCTAAAATTTTTCGTTCTAATAAAGTTAAAAAAGCTACTCCAATTAATACTATAATAATGACAATTAAACTCCTTACTAAATACTCTAACCAATATATTTCATAAATTTTTAATAAAAATACTTATTTTATTTATGAAACTTAAATTCATTGCACTAATCTGCCATATTAAAATAATTTATAAAAATTTTATCCTTTTAACTTTGAAAATTAATAGTCTTACTAACTTAAAATTATTTAATAAAAATAAGTTAATAAAACTTTTAGATTCATAATCTAACAATAGACAAAAAAATTCTTTTTTATTACCCCCCCCCCAATGATATGATAATTAATGATAATTAATGATAATTAATGATAATTAATGATAATTAATGATAATTAATGATAATTAATGATAATTAATGATAATTAATGATAATTAATGATAATTAATGATAATTAATGATAATTAATGATAATTAATGATAATTAATGATAATTAATGATAATTAATGATAATTAATGATAATTAATGATAATTAATGATAATTAATGATAATTAATGATAATTAATGATAATTAATGATAATTAATGATAATTAATGATAATTAATGATAATTAATGATAATTAATGATAATTAATGATAATTAATGATAATTAATGATAATTAATGATAATTAATGATAATTAATGATAATTAATGATAATTAATGATAATTAATGATAATTAATGATAATTAATGATAATTAATGATAATTAATGATAATTAATGATAATTAATGATAATTAATGATAATTAATGATAATTAATGATAATTAATGATAATTAATGATAATTAATGATAATTAATGATAATTAATGATAATTAATGATAATTAATGATAATTAATGATAATTAATGATAATTAATGATAATTAATGATAATTAATGATAATTAATGATAATTAATGATAATTAATGATAATTAATGATAATTAATGATAATTAATGATAATAAAACTTTAATTTATATAACTTATTACATCATAATAATCCTTTACTCAGGCATATCATTACTAAAATAATAATATTATTAATATAATCAATTTATATTTAATTAATTCCTAAAATTAACACACTAATCTGCCATAATAATTTTGTATATAATAATATTATTTATTCCCTAAAATCCCAAAAATTTTTGTGCTAGTTTAATAAAACACCAATATACAATTTTTATTCCCCCCCCCTTCCTTAAAATTTTGAATAAGTTACTTTAACTATATATTTAAGTCGAAATTAAATTCTAAAACTTTAGATTTATCCAATTACTAAAATCAATTTAATGACCCTTCTTTAAATTCATAATAAAGACCTAACACTAAAATTAATATAATTATACAAAAAATATATTTATAAAAAATCATTTTTCTTGAATTAAAATAATTCTAGGTAAAATTAAAGTAATTTCCACATCAAAAATCAAAAAAATAATTCTAATCAAATAAATTGAATAGAAAAAGGTACCTTTCTATATGATATTGGATCAAACCCACATTCAAAAGAAGATATTTATTTCGACACTTAAATATCTTTTTAGATAAAATTAAATTAATACCTATAATTAATCCCCCTAAAATTATAATAATTATATTTAAAATGATAAATATATACATATAAAAATTTAAAAATTATCAATGTCATCAATAAACTAAAATATAAACAAAAATTCATACCACATCAACAAAATGTCAATATCATGAAGCTGCCTCAAACCCAAAATGATGAAATTCATTTAAATGATTAACCCTTATCCGAATTAAAATAATTAATAAAAAAATTCTTCCAATAACTACATGTCCCCCATGAAATCCAGTTGTTAAAAAAAAAATTGAACCAAATACAGAATCACTTATAGAAAAAGTAGCCTCATAATATTCTATATACTGAATTACTGAAAAAATCCTTCCTAACATAATTGTACCAAAAAGCCCTACTTGTCTTCTTTCATTATCTCTATTTAAAATACTATAATGTCTTCAAGTTACTAAAACTCCAGATGATAATAAAATTACTGTATTTAATAAAGGAAGTTGAAAAGGATCAAATTGAAGAATGTTCCTTGGAGGTCAAACTCCTCCAACTTCAATATTTGGAGATAAAGATGAATGAAAAAAAGTTCAAAAAAAGATAAAAAAAATATTACTTCAGATAAAATAAATAATATTATCCCTAACTTTAATCCGTCCACAACTCGTCTTAAATGACTCCCTTGAAAAGTTCCTTCACGAATCACATCTCGTCACCATTGAATTCTACATAAAATAATTGACAAAAGACCTAAATTTATTAAATAAATAAATTTATCACTGAATAATATAATTCCTCCAATTATAGTTTCTCATAACTCTAAATGATCTTAAAATAGGTCAAGGTCTCACCGTTACTAAATGAAAAATTAAATTATGTAATATTTTCATAATTAGTTTCTGAAGAATATAAAACTCTTAGAATAGAATAAACATAAGACTGAATGAAAGAAACAGCAACTTCTAACACTATTAAAATACATTGAATCAAAACCAATAAAAATACCATAATCCCTAAAATTTCATGTGACTGCCTTATTAAAGTAATTAAAGATGACCGGCAATAATATTAGCAGATAAACGAACTGATAAAGTTAAAGGACGAATAATATTCCTAATAAATTCAATCATTACTATAAAAGGTATTAAAACATCTGGTGTTCCTTGAGGAGTTAATGAACCAACATATGATTAAAAAAATTAACCCACCCAAAATTATTATTCTTACTCAAATTATTAAAGATACTGTAACTGTAATACAAATATGCCTTGTTCTAGAAAAAATATAAGGGAATAGACTCACAAAATTATTAAGTATAATAAAAGTAAATAAAAATATAAATAATAAAACATTTAATTTATTAAAATTAATTAAAGAAATTTTAATTTCATTAACTACCCCCATTAAATTAATTTTCATACTATACAATATTTTCTTGATAAAACTCAATATAATTGAGGAATAAATAAACTTAATATTAGTATCCTTACTCAATTTTAAAGAATAATCAATTCTTCTAGAAGGATCAAAAAACTCTAAATAAATTAGTTATCATTTAACGGTCCATTTACTTACCAAAACTTCATCTTTTTTAATTTTTGTTAAATAATTTTTAAAAAAAATCCTCTCATTAAAATTATATAATAAATTCATAAAATCCAATAAATACATTATTAAAAATAATCAATATATTGGCTTTATCTGAGGAATTAATTAAGAGTACTAATAAATAGTACTATAATAATTTAAAAAATTATTACTTTACACTTAAGTTACTTAATTAAATTAAATTAGACTATTTTTATTCTTCAATAAAATCTTCTATATAATCTATAAATTTCCACTCCCCTCCCTTCAATAATAATAGGTATAAATCTATGAGCCATTCCACAAATTTCTGAACATTGCCCTAAATGAAAACCAGGTAAAGATATAGTAACTCTTCCCTGATTTAACCGCCCAGGAACAGCATCAACTTTATTCCTACTGAAGGAACAGCAAATGAGTGAAATTACATCCTCAGAAGAAATTAAAAATCGAATTTGTACATCTATTGGTAACACTAAATTCTCTGTTCTATCTAGTAACGAAACCTCCTTAAAATAATATCTTTTACTATATATGAATCCACTCTTTTTCTTATAAAATCAGAATATTCATAAGATCAATACCATTGATGTCCCACTACTTTAACTGTTAAAAAAGGTGAATAAACCTCATCTAATATATATAAAATTTTTATTGAAGGAACCCCCAAAATTACTAAAGTAAAAATAGGAATAATAGTTCAAATAATTTCAATCTCTTGCCTTTCTACTATTAAAACAACCAATTTATTTAAAGAAACATTTATAATAATTCATAAAATTAAAACTACAATAATTAAATTAATTAATAAAGTAAAATCATGAATATTATTATTCATTCTATTATTGGAGAAGCAGAATCTTGTAATATTAAAATAAATCATTCTTTCATTTTTTACTTAATTTGCAATGAACCTTCTAAATATGAATGTATTAAAGGAGGAGCTAAATGTAATCACTCTACTGATACTATTAAATAATTTTAAATAACACTAATCGCTCTACTATAAAAGATTCTCAAATAATATAAATTAATATAAGTATTCTTACAATTGAGATTAATGAACCAATTGATGAAACTATATTTCATATTAAATATCTATCAGGATAGTCAGATACCGTCGAGGTATTCCTCTTAATCCTAAAAAATGTTGAGGAAAAAAAGTTATATTAACCCCAATAAATATAACAAAAAATTGAGTTATTAACCATTTTGAATTTAAAGTAATCCAGTAATTAAAGGAAATCAAAAAATAAATCCTCCAATAATAGAAAATACAGCTCCTATTGATAAAACATAATGAAAATGAGCCACAACATAATAAGTATCATGCATAACTATATCTAAAGAAGAATTTGATAAAGTAACCCCTGTTATCCCTCCTAAAGAAAATAAAAAAATAAATCCAATAACCCATATTATTACCACTCTAAAATCTACTTTCACTCTATCATTGTAGCTAACCATCTAAACACTTTAATTCCTGTAGGAACAGCAATAATTATAGTTACTGATGTGTAATAAGCTCGAGTATCCACATCTATACCTACTGTAAAAATATGATGATCCCCTACAATAAATCCTAATCCTCCAATTGAAATTATAGCATACATTATACCTAACCTTCCAAAAGACCCTTTTTACCACATTCAGTAAAAAATTATATGAGAAACTATTCCAAATCCAGGTAAAATTAAATATAAACTCAGGATGACCAAAAATCAAATAAATGTTGATACAAAATGGATCCCCTCCTCCAACAGGATCATAAAAAGAAGTATTTAAATTTCGATCAAATAATAATTTGTAATTCCTCCTGCTAAAACAGGTAATGATAACAATAAAAGAATAGTTGTTAAAAAAATTGCTCAAACAAATAATGTAATTTATCTATTGATATTAAATAAGGTCGTATATTAATAATTGTTGAAATAAAATTAATAGACCCTAAAATTGAAGATACCCCCCTTAAATGTAATGAAAAAATTACTAAATCAGTTGAAACCCCAGGATGCCTATCTCTAAGAGATAAAGGAGGTAAACAGTTCATCCTGTTCCTGCCCCTTGGTCAATTATTATTCTTGCTAATATTAAAATCATAGAAGGAAATAAAAGTCATAAACTTATATTATTAAACGTGGAAATGCTATATCAGGAACTGTAAGTATTAATGGAATTAAATAATTCCCAATCCTCCAACTATAATTGGTATAACTATAAAAAAAAATTATAATAAATGCATGAGCAGTAACATAGAATTATAAATTTGATCATTATTAATTAATTGACCTGGTATACCTAACTCTATCCGAACAATCAACCTTAACCCTGCCCTACTATCCCTGATCAAATTCCAAATATAAAATATATAATACCAATATTTATGATTTGAAGAAAAAATCATTTATTAATATAATGACACAATAATTTAATTAAAAAATTATTTTTTCAATGTAAATGAAATATTTAAATTAAATTAAAAATTAAAGTAATACACCTAATTTAAATATTATCATTTAAGTAATATGTCTGATTTAAGTAATAACTGTAAATTTATTCAAAAATATAAAACTATTTATTATAATAATATTACTAAAAAATAATATTAATAAAATAATATTAATAAATATTAATTTAACTTTATTTTTTTT